TGTGTGTGTGTGTGTGTGTGTGTGTGTGTGTGTGTGTGTGTGTGTGGTGAGAATTTTTAAGACATATTCTCTTAGCATCTGTCAAATATATAATACAATATTATTAACTATAGTCACAGTGCTATACATTAGATCCCCAGAACTTATTCATCTTAGAACTAGAAGTTTGTGTCCTTTGGTCAACATCTCCCTATTTACCCCAACCTCCAACCCCTGGCAAACACCATTTTACTTTGTTTCTATGAGTTTGATGTTTTTAGATTCCACATACAAATTAGATTATATGATATTTGTCTTTCTCTGTCTGACTTATTTCTCTTAGCATAATGCCTTCAAGGTCCATCCATATTGTCCCAAATGGCAGAATTTTCTTTTATTATGGTTGGATAGTATCCCATGTGTATATGTGCCACACTTTCTTTAGTCATTCATCTGTTGATGGACATTTAGGTTGTTTCCATGTCTTGGCTATTGTGAATAATGCTGGAATGAACATGAAAGTGGAAATACTCCTTGAGATAGTGATTTCATATCTTTTTGGATATACACCCAGAAGTAGAATTTGTGGGTCATGCTAATTCTATTTTTATTTTTTGAAAAACCTCCATACAATTTGCTATGATAGCTGAACCAATTTACATTCTTGCCAACATGGAATACAGAAAATTGATGTGTTTTATACGTACTTGATTTGGGAATAAACTACTATGTCTCCTTACTCATTTATCCCACATGATTGTAAACACCTCAAGGATAGGATTTTGATCTATACTGTTTGTTCTATATTCACAATGATGAGAACAGTGGCTGCAATGGAACACTCAAGTCATACTTGTTTTGAATTAATGATATAATTTGGGGTTATAGATATGATTTTTTCTGCATACAAGAATTTTCTATATGAAAATAACCAAATCCTTTCCAAAGTAAAACTCCTGAAATGAACCACAGATACTCTTATATTTTTACCCGAGAAGACAAGGGACTTGTGAACATAGTCTAATCTTTTTCGGGGGACACAAAAATGAATGCCAATTATCATATATCAGGCAATGGTGCTCTTGGGATGTGTGTAATGCTGTGTGTAAGATAGTTGAGCCTTACTCTAAAGATGGTTTCTATGTTTCTGCTTTTGATTTTCCTTTCTGTCTTTTCATTTCTATTAAACATTTAACTCTATATCCTGATAGGATTATTATATCTGTATTTTTGCACCCAGTTACCACTTTTTATTTATTGCTGTCAGTCTAGTATTTGTTGTAAGACTGTGCACCCAAAGTGGGGCCCTGAGGGATTTTTTCCCCTATTTGTTGTAAGAGGATTTGGGAGTAACTTTGACTGTAAAATACATTTTAAATAATTAGAATTTTCCAGGTTTTTAACCTATACACAGAATGTTATTGTATAGTTTTCTTTAGAAGCATTTATATAAAGTGTCTCCAAACCATTTCTTCTTAGCCTTTGGCTAAATATGTGTATATGTATTTGTATGTGTAATTATGTACAACTTGGTTTTGGTAACAGTTTGTCAGAACACATGGAAAATCTTTTAACTGGCTCTGTTTCCTGTTTTACTTAATTTATGTCTATGTTTCTGGAATAGATTTGGCAACCATAAGTCCTAGATTTTTCAGGAGAGTCCAATTTCTGAAAGTTTATCTTAGTATCAGACCATATGCTTTGAATTTTTGTTTGATTGATGTAGTCAGTTTGGGTTTAGGAAATTTGTGAAGATTATAGAGCATGGAGAAGCATTAAAAAAAAATCTACAGTCCATTAAGTACCAAACTAAAAATGTTACCCAAAATGTTTTTTTTTTTTTTTGAGGGTTCTTGACTATGTAATCAACATGTAATTTTATGCAAAATTCTATTGCCATTGTTAAATGTTTCATTTCACAAAATTCTCAAGAAAATTTTCTGGGAAACCAATGCTTTTATATATTTGATAAAATATGTTTATATCTTTAAACATAACTTAATACATGTGCTTATATATAAATTGTCATTTGTTATAAATTAGTCATTCTTAGTGTGTTTTTGACTCAGCCATACTTACTATAATTTGATATCTTGCAGATATACATGCTATTCACTTAAATATGAAGAAAATTCACCTTGTTAAACAATAATAACACTTAAATCATTTGTATGTAGCATGTACATGAATTTTGTATCTAGCGGTACAATAGAAATTTTAGCCATTTCATTCAAATTAAGTAGTTAGTTTCATCCAGTATTTTGAAAAAAGATCTTTTAATGAAAACTTCTGCATTTTACCAACAGAATAGGAATCAATGCTTTGCACGTTTTCAGTCATCTAAGAATTACTGTTTTTTTGCTGTGTTCTAATTCCTGCACCTAGGCTGTACTTTAAACTGGTTGGAGGACGAATGGAGCCTTTCTCTTTTATGGGGGTGTTCTGAAGAGGTATAAATATACCACGGTCAATGGATAATTAACCATATTCATGCCTGAGTATTAAATTCAATGAGCATAGCTCTGTGGAAACACCTCCCAAGGACAAGAAATGGCTGTAATCAAAATTCACTTTCTGTTGGCAAATCTGTCAGATAAGCTACTGATGACAGCAATTCTCCCTTTTTTTCTTCAGATGGAAAAATAGCTGGAAGCACATCAGGCAAATTACTTTTATACTAAACAACAATAAAGTGACAGTGCTTTTATTTGGAGAGAAGGCATATCTCTCCTGGAAATAACATTACAACATTTAAAATGAAATATTCCTTATTATAAGCAAACATATTATAGTGTGTTTTTGAATATTCTGGGCCAGATATTTACAAATTTAATCAACATTTATAAAGGTGGTAACATTTGAAATAAAAAATTGCTGTGGTTACTTGCTTTTCTAAAATTTTTAAACCTGTAAGAGAAGTGTAGATACAGATTTAAGGATTTACTTTCCTTAAATAAGTATTTTTTATTATAGGATTAATTTCTTAGAGATCTGTTTTAATTAAAATTGATCCTGGTCCTATTAGTTTTATTACAGATTCCCTTAGAAAATTGAATAACACTGAATATTACCGATTATTTTGTTTCTCTATCCACCAAAATGAAAAATAAGCCACAGCAAATCAAGACTGCTTTTATGGAATTTTTCTTATCTAAGAAAAGGAGTTTTGCTAATATCAACATAGATTCATTTTGATTTGGTCTAATGCATACAACAATCAAAATAGCCCAAGATTTTATATGTTTTTCTTATGTGATATTTTAGATCTCTGTGTCTTTCTACAAACAAAATACAATAAAATATAATTGGAAGATGTTTTCTTTGAGGTAAACACAAACTGAGAATAAGCAGCAGGTTAGTTGTCTCATGAAGACAGCAAAATTTTCACTTCCTCATAACTATGGATGGGACTCATTAGGTTTTACTATAATGATAGAGCAAGAGCTTCTTTCCTTCCAAGAGTACAAAATCTGATTGTTAATTAGAATAAATTGAGTCATATGAGTCTTGAGCATTCTCCTAAGAGTCCTCATTTGAGAAATTTGAGTGAGGTGAGGAAACGCTTAGAATTCTATAGTTCTCTGAAAATCTTCTGAAATTATGAGCAATTGAGTTTTTTCCTGTGTCTCTCAGGGAACATCCCAGGTCTGGGTATTACTTAGGAAAGACTTGAGGATTTCTAAGGCTAGAGTTGCACTGGATGAATAAAAATGCCAAGCAAGGAAGCCTCAACCAACCACTCAACCAGCCAACATAAAACTGGTCAAATCCAGAACAGTGGTATCCCCCACAATCTTTATTCTTTAATGAGACAAGATTCACATATTTGAGAAAAGGAAGGACTTTATGTTTTTTGATATTTTTCCATTTTACTGATTTCAGACAATGTAACTTGTTTGTTGCCATTATCTTTAAAATCTCCCCTTCCAGGAAGCTCATCTATATTCATCTCTCTCATCCAGCAGTTTTTCTCTATAGAGTGAAGGTGGAGGAGCCGAATTATGTCTATTTCTCTTTTCTGATTCATCCTGTTGTCTGAAGTCTGTGATCTGAAGTAAACATTTTATTTATCTTTAAGCATTTTATAAGCAATCTATCTTTAAATGAGATACACATTTTGCATAAGAAAAAAATGATTTCCTGGCATATTTTACCATGTAATCTTAGGCAAGTGATTCAGTCTCTTTTAAATATCCATTTCCTCCTCTACAAGTGAGGAATAATAATAGTACCAACCTTTTGGGGGCTTGTGAGGATTGAAGAGATAACGCATGTAAGGTATTGTTACACGTCTAAGATATGGTACCTACAAAACACATCTGACCATTACTGCTAGTGACCCTAATGGCAATGTATTTCTGAGTAAGTTTTATATATTAAAAAAGGGATAATTTAATTAGTAGAAACAAACATGGCACACTGACCAAAATACCAGACTATTCATTTCCACAACAGAATGAATAAATTTAGAGGAGACATTGGTCTAACAAAATGAAAGATCTGATAATACATCTATGGGGTTGTACTCAGGAGAGGTATAAGTATAGTGAATACTTATGAAGTAAATAGATGAAATAAAAAGATTCTGCATAAGTTTCATGTGACAAGTTGGGTGAGGAAAATAAAATATATTGAAAGATACTGTCCTTCCTTACTGAATACTTAGTATGTGCCAGACACTGCTAGGTCCTTTTATCTTATTTGATTCTTTCATTTAATTAATAACCACATTATAAAGTGGATAATGTTTTATTATCATTTGTTATGTAGTCTCCAGTTAATAGATAAAGAAACTTTTATTTCAGAAGTATTAAATATACCCAGGGGCATAAACCAGGAGCAAGAATAGCACATCTATAAATAAAGGAATAAAATTTAAAATAATTTTTCTTCCAACTTGACAAAATCATATTTGTGACCACCTAGAAGGCCTGATTCTAATGCAAATTTTCAAATCACTGGAATTCAATGTGAGAACAGGGTGTGCAGTGCCCTTGCCAATGTCCCTGTCCCCACCACCCCCTGCTCTTTCCATCCCTGGCTTTGTTCCACACATACAGAAATACACTTGCCTGCATGTCTCAGCATCATCTATTACTCCTGCAAAGAAGCACCCCTTGATTATCCCCCCAGCCTAGGGCTTCTCATTGCTTCAATGTGGTCTAACCCTGGGAAAATGGTCTTGAGAGCAGACGTGGGACCATGGGACTTTGAGGACTCAGTATGGTCTACAGTGGGGGGATGGAGGATGGCACATTGCTCTGCCTTTATTCTTTGCCCTCGGAGGAGAGTCATGGCATGAGGAAGGCCAGAGTGAGACTTGAGTGGTTCTGAGTGGGAATCCCTCTTGCCTGAGTCTAAGAGAGGCATTGTCAAACGCCATTCTGACGGTAGGTCTGGGAGTCCAGATGGGTTTGACTCAAAAGCCTGTAGATTTCCCACTACTTAATACGACCTCATTTTTCTCTGCTTTGGCATCAAACTAAGATAGTTAGATATTCAAATCTAATATCTAGACACCTGGGATACCTCAGTGAATAAAACAGGCAAATAAACCCTTGAGTTTATGGAGCTTAAAATCTAGAAGAAGCGGACAGTCGGTAAGTAATAAACGTAAGTAGTAAACATGGTATATTACAAGGTGATAAAATCCCTGGAATAAATTAGGGTAATATAATGATTATTGGGAGTTTTAGAATGGGGATAGCAGTTTTAAATGGTCAGAGTATGCCTCATTGAGATGACATTTAAGCTGAAACTTGAAAGAAGTAATTGCTACAACTTATGAATAAAAGTTCTCATTGTTTTTTTCTTTGCAGGAAAACAGAAAAGACAAGCAGGTATGTTATCTTAATTTTATCAGCTATTACTAAGCCAAGGACAGTATGGATTCAACACAGCAGAATATTTTGATTGGGGGAGGTTGGACACTGGAACTCAGGGCTTAGTAATGGGGAGGAAGCAGCTGGGGAGGTTTCTGCCCTGACTATAAGTAGCATTTCTAGTACATGGCAGTGAAATCTTCATAGCTCTATTCATCTCTCTTTTTTGAAGTCTTAGGATTATGACAAAAAGTTACAGATATGGCAATGAAGGCAATAAGCAGTGTATGATGTTCCAAGGGCTGCCAGAATAACAGGGAATAACATGGCTTTCTAAGTGTCACAAATGAATCACCTTTTTGTGCTAGCAATACTGTTTTCAAATATGATCTTCTGTTATTCACATTAGGTGGCTTTTTATTCAGTAGTCTGAACTTTGGTGATCCAAACAGAAGAAAGAAATCTCTTGTTGGCTTACTCCTTAACACTGGATTTAATGCTCCAGGAGGGACTGAAGATGGGTCGAGGAAACATCGAGATACTGATAGTTTAGTGTTAAAAGACACTCCAGCAGGTACTGTTAGAGAGCTTATCTAGGAAACAAGTGCTTTATTTCATTTGGGATAAGCTGGTAATCTTTGCATCATTTGTAGCACATGGCCTTAACAGTAATAGTTGGGAATAGAAAGGCACTAATTCCGGGGCCAATGAGACTGACTTTAGAGAATTCTGTCTTTAGAGAATTTTGGCAAAGATGTTTACATTAAGTTACATTTTTTTTTCCTGATCATTTTAGTTTTTGTATGCTAACTTTCTTCTTGGGGCTAATATTATAATGATCAATCATTTTTATGATATTTAATTAAAATACTTCTTGGCCCCAAATTTGGTGCAAGGTTTCTCGAGTCACGTTTTTATCTCCAATCACAATTTATTTTCTATACTGGGATTCTGTCTTTAAATTGCATGCTCAGTTTTATGAGTAATATTATAAAACAGGGTTTCTAGACAGTTTGTGGTCTGCTATTTGGTTTTGTTTGAAAAAAAAATCAACTTTCTTTAGATGAGGCATGTTCTCTCTGGTTCTACATACTTCTCCCAATTGGCCAAGTTTTACTTTACTTGCCTGGTCCCCCAAATCTCTATAGTTCATACCTGTACAAAAATAGAAAAGAAGGAGATCCAATGAGGAAAATAACTTCAATATTTTATATTGAAATTTAATATTTGAATCCAAGTGATGATAACTGAAAAGGGAGAAACAGTTTGGGGTATAGGGGTGCAGTTGAAATTATCGTCAGGAAGGACACAAGTTTCTTGTTTATCCAGTCATCTATTTGGGGGCTGACAAACACAGTATGACTAATAAGTTAATGCAGATACACTTGCTTTTGTTTACAATACTGAGTTGTTCATTGTTAGCTCATGTTCTAAAGAACACTGAAATTTATCTTAAATGGCCCCAATGCTTTAGTTTTCTAAAGGAATTCTCTAACTTCATGGTAAATTGGTTACCAGGCACAACCCTGGTTACACTGTATGGAATTATATATGGAGTGGAGGGGAGGGGGGATATTTTTGAAATGATAATGTAGACCTAGTTCAAGCAATGTGTATAGATTAATTTCTTATACATTATGAATGAATGCAATTTTTTTTTTCTGTTAGTGATTGTGTTTTTGTATGGCAGAGAAAACCAAGTTAGCAAGTGGTTTTGCCAACAGTATATGTGGTGGTATTAAATTTGGTGGCACTGCTTTAGATCAAAATGACATTGGTAGGGGTCCATCTGGCCAAAGTGGATTTGATGTGAATGTGGTAAATGGATTGGCTGGCTCTAATTCTGCTGCCAGTGAAACAGGTATTCTAAGTTGTTTCTTAGTTTCTGCTTTTGACAGGAAAAAAAAAATCAATCAATTAGCAAAACAGGGAAGGTGGTGTTTTGACCTGATTTAGTGTTAGTGAAACTTGTGGAGATGATTTTTAAACTATGTTTGATTCTTAAAGGATCTGTGTTGTCTTCAACAGAAATCATCAATTTAAACATTTTAGTGAAGAGGCAATTAGATTTAATTGTGTAGGAGTTTGGACCTGTAAGGAAGAGACCCAGTTTCTATCCCCTTCCCTGATAACCTTCTGTGGACTTTGGGAAAGGCACTTAAACTCTCTTGTTCCCAAGTTTTGTCTTAAGGAACAGGATAATTTGGGTCTCATGTTTCCGTACTTTTGCGGTGTTAATTTTTTAAGTTTCATTACTCATATTTCAACTAGTTTTCTTGAAGAAGAGTGCCAGAAAAAAACAAATTTATAAAAGTGTGGTAAATAGCATTTTATATTTGGAAATTAAAGTCAGTGAAAGAAGTTAGGGTCAGTAAAGTATGTAAATCTTGCTATTTTTGTGTCAGAGCAATTTATCTTAAAAGATGTGGATGTTGGTGGAAAGAGGAAGAACAGAAAGGAGTTTGTCAGTAAATCCATGGGCTTTGGCTTTCATATCAGTGGCTCAGGAATTCTAATCCAGACTCTGCAAAGAAAAAATACAAATAATTAATCATTTCCATCCTTTGTTTTTTTGCTCTTGATAACAGTTGAATTTTACATTTGCCTTTTGATTTTGGATTTGGTGGTAGAAAGAAGGGTGAATTTGAATTTGGTCTTGGTAATTCTGGCTCATGTGGAATGGGCATCAGTGGTTTTGAACAAAAAGGCTTTGCTGAAAATGAAATAGGGAACATTGGAAAATCAAGTTCCAGTGATCTAGTTATTACTCTTTAGGTTTTGTGCGTAGAAAGTAGAGTTGTAAGTTGTATTTAATTATTACCTGGTAACAATCTTTTTTTTTTAAATTTTAGCAGATAATACCAACCCAAGAAATAGGGCTGGATTTAGTAGCAGTGTCTCTGGAAATTTGGGATTTGGTTTGGGGGCATCTGATCAAAAGGGATTGGGCATTGGTAGAGCTGACCAGAGTGAAATGAGCAGCAGAGGATCTGCCAGGGGTGAATCAATGGGTTTCAGTTTTGATGCCCATAGCTCAGGTATTCCAACTAAGACTCATTGCAGAAAATTTAAAATTAATTAAATTAACTAATTGGTTAAAATATATTTCTTTAATATTTAACAATGAACTTATTAATTAACATTAATTTTTAATTACATTTTACTTTTTCTGTCAGTTGGAACTGGGTCTTTTGGTTGGGAACTTGGAAAACAGAAGGGCAATGCTGCATTTGGTTTTGGAGCTTCTGGTTCGAGTTCATTTGGTGGCAGTGGCATTAATGGCAAAATAAAAATTGAAGGAAATCAAATGGGTAGTTCTGAAGGACCCATTCCCAATGATCTAGGTATTGATATCTCATTCTTCTGCATAAAAATTTCTGAATCATGAAATGTTTTCAATACACTGTGACATCATTTTATATTCTGCAGATGATACTGGTTTGAGAAATCGGAATACATTTGTTGGTGATGGCCCTGGAAAATCAGAAACCAATGTAGGGGTTTCTGGTCAACAGGGATTTGGAATCAATGAAATTGTAGGGACTAAAATGAGTGGCAGTGGATCTGCCCGGGCTAGATTCAAAGGCCTTGGATCTGATGCTGGTAGCTCAGGTATTCCACTTAGGCTCTTTTCCTGAGAAATCCAATTGGATTTTAAATATTCATTATTTTATTTGATAATATTTTGAATTTTCTGTTAGTGGGAAGGCCTGGGTCTTTTGATTTTGGACTTGAAGGAAGGATGTTTGGAACTGATTTTGATTTTGGAGATTCTGGTTCAAATCACTGTGGTGACAATGGTGATAACAGAATAAAATGTACTAGTGAATTTAGTTCCAGTGGTTTAGGTGTTGATGTTTAATTTCTGTGCATAAAACATATTTGAATCATAAAATTTATTGAAATATGTTCTGATGACAATCATTTTACATTCTGCAGGCACCACCAGTGCAAGAATTGGGAATAATTTTGTTGATGGCATATCAGAAAATTTGAGATATGGTTTTGAGAAATTTGGTCAAAAGGGATTTGAAAGCAGTGGATCTGATTGGAGTGATAAGAGCAGCAGGGAATCTGATGCCAGTGGCTCAGGTAGTCTAATTTTGGACCCTGCTCAGGTGAAATCTAAATTGATTTCAGCCTTTCATCTGTTATTGTGTTAACATTTTTATTTCTCTGTTAGTGGGAAAGTCCTCATCACTTGATTTGAGATATGGAGAAAGGAAACGTGAAGCTAAATTTGATTTTGGAGATTCTGGTTCAAATCGATTTGATGACATTGGCCTTAGTGAAAATGTAATAAAAGGTACTAGAGAATCTAATTTTAGTGGTATGGATGTTGCTAGTTAATTTTTTGCTTAAAAAATTTCTCAGTTATAAAATTTATTGAATATGTCCTATTGACACACTTTTAATATTCTGGTAGAAGTACCAGTGCAAGAAGTGGTGGTGAGCATGCTAGGGGATATTTTGAAAATTCAGAGGTGCCTGGGTGGCTCAGTCAGTTAAGTGTGTGCCTTTGGCTCAGGTCATGATCTCAGGGTCCTGGGATTGAGTCCCATATCAGGCTCTCTGCTCAGCTGAAAGTCTGCTTCTCCCTCTTCTCTCTCTCTCTCTCTCCCTCTCAAACAAATAAATAAAATCTTTAAAAATTTTTTGAAAATTCAGGATTTGGTGCTGGGGCATTTGATAAAAAGGAATTTGGAGGCAGGGGATTGATGGAATGAGCAGCAGCATTTATGTTGTCCCTGGATTCATGAATCTCAGGTCCAATGCCCATAACTCAGGCATTCCACTAACCTGGACTCTTGGTGAAATTGAAATGGATTTCAGTTTTTTTAATAATTTTTAAAAATAACATTTAAATTTTCCATTAGAGGGAAGGACTTGGTTTTCTAATTTTGAAAATGGAGAAGAAGGGTGAAACTCAAATCGGTTTTGGAGATTCTGGTTCAAATCCAATGGCCATAGTGGTAAAGCCTTTGATGGAAATGGAGTAGGTGGTCGCGGAGGCTCTAGCTCCAGTGCTTTAGGTATTGATGATTAATGTCTGTGCCTAGAAAAATTCTGAATCATGCTATGCCTTAAAAATAATTTCCTGACCATCATTTTGTATTCAGCAGGTGACCCAAGTGCAAGAAATGGGGATGGATGTTCTGGTTGGTACCTCTGAAGGTTCAGGATTAAATTTGGGGTCATCTGATCAGCAGGGATTTGGAATCAGTGGAATTGGTGGGAATGGGGAGAGAGACAGTGGATTCTTGGGGGCTGGATACTTGAGTCCTGGATCTGATGTTAGTGGCTCAGGCGTCTTAACCTGGACTCTATTCCCAAGAAATCCAAATTAATTTCCTCCTCCTTTATTTCTCTTAATCACATTTTGATTTTCCATTAGGAGAAAACACTTGGTCTTCCAGTTCTGGAAGTGGTAGAGGAAGGAAGGGTGCAGCTGGACTTGGTGGTGGTGCTTCTGGACCAAACGAATTTGGTGAAACTGGCCTTAGTGGTACAGGTACCTGTGATACTGGAAAGGATGTTACTGGATCTGGTTCTCATGGCTTGAGAATTGAGATTTATGTCTGATGATTAGAAAGTCAGGATTCTAAAATGCCTTATAAAATAACAATGAAAATCACAAACATTAATAATGATACAAAAAGCAAACCAAAATTCTGAAATGATAAACTGTATGTAGATGTGATCAAGGAAAAGTCATTTAATATTTTTTGGCATAGATTGTGGAATGAGTTTTGTGGCTGTGATTATATTGATGTGGAATTGTTTTTGTTGCTTTTATGCGAAACTGATTTGGAGTTGCAGAAGTTGAAGAGGTGGTTAGAGTAGCAGATAATTTGTTGGGTTTGAGCTTTGTATTCTGGATCTGGTCTTGGTAGTTTAAATTTTTTTGCAGATTTATTTCTGGTAAGAGTAAACAAGTTCTCTCCCTTTTGAAAATCTCATAAGATTTAATATTTCTCCTTAATGGAAACATTAGATTGAATAGTTTAGGAATTTGTGGTACACATTGTTAAAATAATACTTATGATATGGGAACTATATTGATGCTGTTAGCCATATTGGAAAGTCTTGGGAGCACTGGACTAGATGACCATAGAACTGTGGGTAGCAGATTCACTTCTAATGATACAGGTGATCTGAAAAATATTCAGGATTCACCTTTAGAACTTAACTTTAAGATTGATACATTTTTAAAAGGTAAAGTCTAATTAGCAATAGAGATAGTGTAGTAATGGTTGACCTCAGTCAGGATTGACTATCAGTGAGTATGTTCAAAAAAGGCTTGGTCATACAGAAATAATAATTCTATTTTGGGTTGTTCTTAATCTTTGGACATCAATTTTGAGGTCAACACTGCAAAGGAACTGATAAATTTGAAATCATTCATTATTTATGCCACCGATTTTGTTTAAACATAGTTGGTACAAATGGTTTAAGAGACCCTGAATATCTAAACTCCAGATCTGCTGCCATTAGCTCAGGTATTCAAATTTAGGATGTGTTCCTGAGAATGTATTGAGAAGTAGTTGCCTCTCATTATTCTGTTGTGGAGTGGTTACCAGTTTGAGATTTTTCTATTTGAATGCCAGCTTTTGTCTGCTTTAATTTTTTAAATAAGGCAGACTTTTATTAATTAGTGTTCTTTCTGGTAGTGTATCTAATAGTGAATCTAGTGGCTTTGAAATGGCAAGTTTTGGATCTGTTGACATTACTATCTCTTGACATTAGACATATTCAGATGAAAGCTCAACTAGGTTTTCATACTTCCAGTGTTTGTGAGTGCAGACTCCTTTGTTCGATTGACATCTTGAAATGGTACCCAGATTTCCCAAATGTAAAGCAATTCAAAGTGGGAGTAAGTGTGGTTGAAACTGAGATAGGAGACCCTGAACTCTGTTTATGCAAACTTTCTCTTTTCCTGAATACATTTTAAGGCAATTGATCTGGAATGAATTAATTTGATGTTAGTTCATTTGGTGGTGAGGCATTTAATTTCGTTTCTCCCACAGGTTGTTGAGTTGATAATATTTTTTTTTCTTATACAGCTTTATGTTGTTCTAAGTCTGCTAGCATTAGCAATGCTGAACTTGGATCTATGGTTTATCCGTCAGATTTTCAAAACTTTTTTTCATATTTTACCAAGTAAAATGTACGCATTTAAGAAATAAATAAATAGCTTAACTATTTTGTATTAAAATAGGTGTCACAAGCTCCTCTAACAACAGTGCCTCTGGACCATTCAGTACTCCAGGTAGTTGGATTTATGACTTTCAGTGTTTAAAATCTATATATATGATGCATATGTGTGTATCTGTGTGTGTGTGTGCATGTATACATAATTTTGAAATTTAAATGTTCTGTGGATTATTGATTTACTAGCACATGATATTGTTATGTCTTTTCCATGTTGAATTGAGCTTCTAAATGCTTCTTTTTGAGTAATAAGATTTAGATAACCAACTGTATATTTTAAACAACTCCATTAATAAGATAGATTAAATTATACTTTAAGGGAACCTAAATAAAACATAATGCAACTTCTCCTTTATCATTTTAGATATAATATTTTTTAAAATGACTTTATGAATAAATTAAGAGTTCAATCTACTTCCACTTGACCTGAGAAAAGACAACCTGCAGTAAAGACAAGTGGTCCCAAGATACACAATAAGTGGTGTTATAAAAAAATATTTGAAGATTCCATAAAAATATTAATTTTTTTTATTGTTGTTGCTCTTCTATTCTGCTTGATTTTAGACCTTGCTCTAAGATTTCATATAAATTTACTTGGTCACATAAAAGGGTCAATGCATTAGAAATAAAAAATCACGGAAAAGTATCAGGGGATATGAATTTTCCTCTCTGATCAGGAGAATTGAGTTCTCTTCATATGTAGATAATTGAATTATTAGTATTATATAGTAGACTGATGTAATAAAATCTACCTTGGACCTGTTTAGCTAATAGCTTCCAATAAAAGTATGCTAGCAAGGTTCTATTTTTGAAGTTCAAAATATAGTTCTGTAGGGGATGCAGCATATGTTAGTAATTGCACATGACCCAAAATGAATAAGCTCATAATGATTTCTGAAAATCCTATGGCTAATTGTTCAAGAAAAAATATGGATTTAAGAGATAATCGTGTATATGAACTTGGTAAATCACAGTTCTCACAAAATCAAATTATATATTCAGGATAAAGAAACTATTGATGGCCTTCAGAATCAGCTTCTAAGTTCCCATGTAGAAGTTCAAATCCTGTACATTTAAAATCAATGTATGTCTTGAAATTTAAGTAATCTATGCATTGTGTTAAATAGCAAAAGGATCCAATATTCCAGAAGCAATTCCGAAATACTCAGAAGTAAGCCCAATTATTGGTAAGTAAAAATGACTCTGATTTCTATCTATATATTTTTATGTCCAAGCCAGCCAGTACCTAATAGAGTTATAAAGTAACCAAAATTTGGAACTAGTTTTAAACATTTACCCATCATCTATCTGTTTGATCATTGCATTTTTGAATGACATCACATTTGTAATATTTTTCTTCAAAGGTACACATACGCACACGCACGTGCACACATATGTACACACGACACATAGACACAGGTATACACATACATGCACATGAACAGATGATATACACATGCATGCACACGAACAGATATACACATGCATGCACACGAACAGATATACACATACATGCACATGAATGTACATGCATGTACATAAAGAAATAATATTCTTTAAACTTATTTGATATAAATGGTAATCCCCTTGTGCAACATTAGAAAGATTATCTTTACAAAAAGCAAAACAAGTAGGCAAACAGATCACAACTCCCTCCGTATCTACCTTCCCATAGTAGAGACAATTTCCCTTTTCCATAGGAATAAAGATGTTTTTATTCATGTTTTATTTGAGCCAGAATAGACACCTTGTGTATTCCCAAGGATTCAGGTACTATTTTTAGTGTGCTTTTGCTGTATGTATGTGAGAAAGAAAAACACTGATTTAAGGTGGTGGCTGTGAGAACAGAACCTTTCAGTGATGTTTTCTCTTGGTACATAAACACTTAAAAAAAGCAGAACTAGACGCTACATTAATAGTTCTAAATAATTATGAATATTCTACTCTAAATATTTTGTAGGTGAAGCTACTACTTGGGGCAAAGGAACATATAAAGCTTTCAATGGTCGCATCTTTTCCTTTGAGTCTTCCTGCACATACAGTTTTTGCCATCATTGCATTGAATCTGGAGGAGATTTCAATATTGAGATCAAACGAAGGAATAATAGTGACTTTGAAAAAATAGCAGTTAAAATCGACAATAATGAGGTCTCTATTTTTGGTGATCGCATTCTAGTTAATGAAGAAAGGTAAATGCCACAGTGTTATGGATAAATGCTATAGAAGCACTTAAAGTAACGAGAGCAAAAAGAAAAAAGGTTGAATAGGGAAAAGGTGGTACTCTTTTCCTATTTTGGTTTTCATATTGGTTTTATAATAATTTCTTGGATAGGAGTCTGATAGAAGATTTTGTTCTGTGTGGGACTGTAAAATACTATATTTATTCCTATAACAAGGACGGGAGAAAAAGAGTAGTTCTGTTGTTTGACTATTTTGAGTATCTAGATTTGGGGCAACATGCATATTCAACACATCTGCTAATAGAATATTTCAATTTTCATTTGTATGTTTATAATTAAATATAAATATGGGATTTTCAATAGATTGAAACTTAAACCATTATTTTTAGAAGTAGCAATTCATATTTGGAAGGGATGCCATATTTGAATGCTTTCCAGGATAAGAAGTTGAGGCATGATATTCTACTTGCGAACATTTCAAATTATTTGATCATTTACTCCTTACACTGAACCAGTTTCTTCTTTCTTATTTCTCTAAAGCCCCAAGGATTTGTTCATTGTTCTTTAAAAGTCTTTCAAAAATTGGAAAAACAAAATGATTGTGTCTCCTCTTCTGAAATGAGAGGAAAAAGAAAGCTTTAATGTTTATTAGCCAGTATTATATTTATGATACTAAACATGGATTATTTTTAAAAAAACATGTTATAATACTATTCTTGCCATTATATGTACTTGTATTTTATACTTTTCAGAGTACAGATACCATATGACAATAAATTGATACACATTAAAAAATATGGAGAACATTATGTCCTGAAAAGCCGTAGAGGAATCCTGTCTTTGATGTGGGACAAAAATAAGCTCTCAGTAAGTCTGGCTCTGATTTTCTTACATTCCTGTGCTTTTTCTTCTTTGCTTTCAGTTACAAAAACATTACATTATAAAGAAAATAAGAGCTAAGATTTATTGAAAAATCTCTATATTATGCGCTGTACTAAGCATTACCTTATTTAAAATTTAAAATACCTTCAAGTACATACTATTATTAATCTTATTTTACAGGTGATGGAACTCAGGAAATTCAGGCTAATACAAGCTATCCATCCAAAGACACACAGTTAGTAAGAGGTAGAGTCAGGATCTTTCCAACTTCTAGTTCCAGGTCCTCTAAAAGAGGCTCTATATTACATGCCTAAGTAACCAGCTTAGGTAGAATTGAATATGAACAGACACCGTCATTTGGTTTGGGTAAATTTTGTCTTGAGGTAATTATAATATTTTATAAACATGTACATGTGGTTTTTCTTTTTTTTAAAGCTTGCTCTTCACAAGCAATATCCAACTTGTGGTCTTTGTGGTAACTTCAACAGCACTCCAGGTAAGATTTCAGTACATTATGTCTAAGGAAATTGCTTCCTGAAAGAAAATTATAAAATGATTGCTCATATTTGAATAACTCTAACAATAATTTGCATTTGTCTAAAGAATAAGAACTTGTTAAAATAAAAAATATGTTGTCAATTTAGTTCTATTTAGCTTGAAAATAACATGTATGTGCATAGTGAATATCTTGAACTAAGCATTGTTTTCTTCTTAAGGAGACAATATCAATGAACACATTGCCAATAGTAAAATTCCTGGTGATTGTCCCAAAGCTTTTAGTAAAAGCTATGAAGTCTGTGAAGATGGCATAGAGGTGAGAGATTTATATTTCACCTAGTAGCACATTTCAGCATTGTTCTCCTTAGTTTCAATTTAGATAGCCAACATCCTCTTCTAAGCACCTGTGCCTGATTCTCAGAATTGTGCAACTGCTTTCTCTCCAGTGTCCCTGTAGTCTGTTTCTCAGCTTTAGTTTAGCTGTAGATACAAAAAAAAGAGTTTTTCTTCAAACTCTATGATACTTACTATATATTAGTGTAACAATTCTGATTTTTTTTGTATAACGTTTTAATTTGTCTGTAAACTGACACACTTCACCTCTCCATTAAATCTGTTGGTGGAATCCATATACTGTGTCCCTAAGAACTACTTTCTGCTCTCCCGTACTTTTGCCCCAGAGAGCTAATCTGAATTGTCAGCCCGTGTATCCTTTACTTTCTTTTTGAAAGAGTTATGTATAATTAACTATTTTGACTATGACACTTGAAAATAGCCCACTCGGAATTTTCTACACTTGTATAGTTCTGTTATGTTGAATTTGATAGGTTGCATTTATTTGATGAGTGAATAAATGTTTACATATTCTTGTTTCAATCTAGAACAAAATTCTCAAGATTAAGATATATGGATAGTATGGATAGAAAAGACTTTCAGTTTTACTGACAATGGATGTTGCATTTATAACCATCTTGTCATCTTCTAACAAAACAAATTAAGCCATGACATTATATATCATCTGCTATCCTCTTTGTGAAACCCTCCTTGGTTTTCACCGTTAGAATTGCTTTCTCTTTCCTGTTACCCTATGCTACTTCTTGCTTCTTATGATAAGAGACCATCTATAAAAATTTCCCTTGTTTCTTTTCCATATGTTCCCTATAAAATTATGCCTTCTATGATGACAAGAATTATGTTTTATCTATTGTGGTAGTTGTATAGCGTGTGAGAACTTACTCCTGGTGGCTCAAAAATATTAGCTCAGTGAATATATAAATTCATGTTAAAGCTAATGCATATTTAGTAAGGACCTACTATGTGCAAGACACTGTTAAGCCAAGAGGATACAAAATTCTATTTTTGCCCTAAAGAAACCTGTAATCTAGTGATAAAGATACGCAAAAAATAATAGACAAAAAAGCAATCTTTGAAGATTTTATTTCACTTAATCGTATACCTCACTTGGAGAATGTTATTAGTTGTGCTAGGGCTTAATTGTTACAAACTGTGCATTTGCTTGACAGTGGTTTTATATTTCTCTGTGACAAACATATGAGCAGCTGTGTGGTAGCTAACATATGTTGATATTTGAACTTTTGTGGGTTCAGTAATGTGTTTACCTCCTTAACCAAGGTGAGAACAAATACATTGTTTCCAGAGTCAACTCACATGGCCCCCACCAAGAAAGCCCACAGTGACTCTATTTTACTGCCTGTTTGCTCACCAAATATAACACTAAGAGATGAAGGGTGGGTTTCCCTTCTGTCTTTTGTGGTATCAGTCATTTACCATCCCATTCTCTGGCATTGACAATGGCTCTTTTTTCTCACCCCTTCCATTTTCTCAGCTGGTAAATTTCATGTCACCTTTGGAGAAATTTTGGATGAGTGTAGGTACAACCATTTCTGAAGTCGTTATATAGCAATCCAAAATGCCAGAGGTGAAGTATTCTTTTAGGAGTCATTGTGCCAACTATAACACTTCAGAACTGTCCATTTCCACCAGCATTCAGCAACTCTCCCTGCCAAAGCTACAGGTTATCATGCAAAACCAAAGAGTTCTGAATTTATCTTTTCCTAAATATTTATTTGATTGTCATTTTTTCTTATGTTTTAATAAAACTTCACACTTTATTTTGTAGTACTGTGACAAAATTATTGGAACTTACTTTGAGAAATGTAGAAAGGTTGCCGCTTTTTCCAATGACTACAGAATGATCTGCGTTAATGATTACTGTGAAAATAGAGACAAAAATTCTACGTGTGACACTTATTCAGAATTGTCCCGCCTCTGTGCCTCAGACGGTCCTGGCGTCTATGAATCCTGGCGAGATGATTCTGATGTGACTTGTGGTAGGTTTTAAATTTTATTGCACATTCCAAGCCAGGAAGTTTCTATAGCACTTTAAAGTTGAGCTGTATTTCAAAGTAATGTTCTTAAATGACTGTAAGCCCTGAAAGGGACCTTAGATATGATGGAGTCTCATCTCTCATGGGTACTTGATAGGAAACAGGACTGTTTTGCCGTAAGTTGCAGTGCTTTATGAAAAGATCTCAATTAGGAACTTTATAGTCTATAATTTGTAAAAGTCACTGGGAAAAATGAGAAATCCTGCAAAAACTGAAAGAAAGTAACTGGAAAAGTTATCAAAAGTATGTTGATTAGTACTATGATTTTCTTTCAAAAAATTAGTAAAACATAGATGTGACTTTCACACAAATATAAAAGTACTTTCAACTTAGGCTTAGCTCAATCCTTTTAAGTTAAAATACAAGTAGAAGATCAATTTCAAAGTAAGATGAGATGTTATTACACATATGGTATACATTTCTTCCTAATTTCTGTCTTCATTTTTAATTTTTTCTACAAATTAAATATTGTAGCATAAAATAATGCATGAGAAATTGGCACGATTTAGTTGTACTGAATAATTTTTAAAACTGACTCATGTCTTGAAATTTAGACTCAAAGAATCCCATTTGAAAAGATCCCCATTAGACTATTATGTATTTATCACATTCATTTCCCTCTCATTCCCATGTATACATATTTCTGTATTTCTCCAGGAGAACCTAGATGCCCAGAAAAACATATCTACAAAGAATGTGGTCCCTCAAATCCTGCAACTTGTTCTAATGTGGCTCCTTTTCAAGAGAGTGAGTGTGTGAATGGCTGCGTCTGCCCAGAAGGTAATACACTCTGTGAGAATGTTTACACTAAAACAACTGAAAACAGTGACCCAAGAATGGTGGGTCTTATTTCTAACCAGATATTTAATGAAATCACCTATTCATAATCCATCCTTCTAGCAAACTGCAGAAGAGGAGTAGAGACAAAGTTAACGTGTATGTCTATTTCTATAGTACCTCAGGGCCCTGGTACTCCACAGATGATCCCCTAGTCCTGTATTGGGCTCCGTAGGAATGTTCCATGGCTCAGAAAATTATACTCTTCCCAGTTCTCAAACTAGGGGTAATTGCTAAATGGAACTTACCATTTTAAGTGTGTGCTTACACTTGAAAGAACTAGCTCAAAGTGATTTCACAGTTTACTGCTTGAGAATTTACAGATGTTTATATAATTCTTGTACAATATATTTATTCTAGGTTATCTATTAGATGATATTGGAGAAAAAGGGGAATGTGTATTAAAGACCGAATGTCCCTGTAATTTACATGGAAAGATCTATAAGTCAGGGGAAGTCCGAAGAGGTCCTTGTGGTTCTCAGTGGTATGTGCATGCTTTTTGTCCACATTTTGTTAATAGTGAAATAATAATAATATTTTAATCTAATTTGAAATAATTCCTAGGTCCACCCTTAAAATAAACTTTTCAGAAATAAATACTGCATTTTCTGTGTAGATAGTTTGTCTCTTATTTTTTAAGGAAAGTTTAGTGTGTTTTTATTTATTTTTTTAAAGATTTTATTTATTTATTAGATAGAGAAAGAGAGAGAGAGAGCACAAGTAGGCAGAGCGGCAGGCAGAGGGAGAGGGAGAAGCAGGCTCCCCACTGAGCTGGGAGCCCGATGCGGGGCTCAATCCCAGAACCCTGGGATCATGACCTGAGCTGAAGGCAGACACTTAATCGACTGAGCCACCCAGACACCCCTAGTGTGTTTTTTAAATAAAATGTATGAGCTTTCTATGTATCTTTAGAAGTTAATAATTTTCACTAACTGAGGGTTTCAAAGAGTAAACCAATTGGTGGTTGCAAATATGGAGCAAAGAATAATACAAGAGTATGGTTACAACAATTAAATAATAATTACGCTAATTACCAAGAATATTTAGTAAAATGTATAATCAGAAACAGCCCGCTACTTTTCAAATAATTTTTGTATGTGACTACATTGGTGAAAATATATTTAATCTTTATTTATATATTTACATATATTTAAATGTACACATAGATTCTTATTTATATATATGATGTTTATAGATATATTTAACAAGAGTGGATTTTAATATGCCAAAATTAGTATAGATTATTTGAGTTCGGGAACAATATACTGATCAGATAGAGTTCCCCATTCTTCCTTATGACTTTTCTCTGAAACTCTAAATTACTGCAGAGCTCCAAAGGACTTTTCTAAAAATGTATCGTGCCTTTGGAGGGAAATAGTCTGACTCAATGAAAGCTAATCTATTATTTATACTATAGTATGTTCCTTATAAATGAGAAATGTTCCTGTTAGTGTGGCAATAATATATTAGTAATAATTATGAATAACAATAGCTATAATTTATTGAATATCTAGGACAGTGCTATCCAAGAGAAATATCATATGAGCCAAAAATATGACCCACATATATAATTTAACATTTTTTAGTTAATGTGTTTTTAAAAAGCAAAAAGATAAGGGTGGAATTAATTTTGATCATGTATTTTATACATCCAAAATGCAGTATTATCATCTAGGAATGAAATTAGTATAAAAAGTTAATGAAAGATTTTACAATCTGTTTTTCAAATTAAGTCTTAAAAGTCTGTATTTTATATTTATAGCAGATCTCAATCTGGACTAGTCATATTTCAAGTAATCTATAGCTATATGTCTCTATACCATATTGAACAGTGAGGGTGTATGATGTGGCATGTAGCAGGTGTTTAATACTAATAGTGAAATGTATTCCATTTAAAAAAACCTCTGAAATCCAGTTTAAAAGTTTTTATATATTTAATGCAGGCAGAAGCTATTATTTTAGTCCATGGAATTAAAATCCTTTAAAATGCCAGGATGCCACCATCAATGTGACATTTGATCAGAGTTGGGATGTTGAGTGGAGAATAAGGGTGGTCTAATAGGGGTGCCTGGCTGGCTTAGTCAATAGACATGCGACTCTTGATCTTGGGGCTGTGAGTTTGAACCCCATGTTGGGTGTAAAGATTACTTAAAAGTTTTTTTTAAAAAGATGGTCTAATAAAGCTTAAGTAAATGTCTTAATTTAAATTTTGATTTTTAATGTTGAGATACTTATTTTCCTCAACGAGAAAACACAACTGATGATCTTTAACATAACCATTGCATTTTAACAGCACATGCCAAAATGCAAAATGGTCTTGCACTGAAGCATTATGTCCCGGAAGATGTAAGGTAGAAGGAAATTCAATCACCACCTTTGATGGTATTAAATACCACCATCCTGGAAACTGTCACTTTTTGGCCATCCACGTATGTAATAGCCTGGAACGCTTGAGAAAACTGATGCGTGCACACTGAGCTATTCAACCAATTTAAAACAGTCTTCACTTTAAGTTACTATTTAAAAAAATAGCAAACAGTCCTTCAATGACTGGTTACATATTTCAGTATCTGTTTTCTGTCACATATTGCCATTGACAATCAGTATTACCTGCACTCCTTAGCAATTCCTTGCTAAACAAACAAAAAAAACCCCAACATTTCCTTCATCACTAGTAACTTTCTAAATACACTGAAAAAATATTTCCTTCTTCTACTTTTCTTTGCATGTGTTCACTAATGCTTCAGTTGAAATGATCTTTTATGTTCCATGAAACATCTTCCTTTTTCATCACTATTCCTTTACATTTATTTATAGTTTTTATAATACAATATCACCAGTATGATAGAGGCTATCCTTACTTCTAAATTCTTTTCAGGGCTAAAACTTTAAGTAATCTGAATTTCAATAAAAGGGGGATTCCATCTTGTAGCTTTGCCTTTAGCTACTCTGAAAATACAGTTTTGTTTAATCTTCCTGGTAAGAAACCAAGATGAGCAGAATTTGTGACTCCTGAATTGAGAGATGTGGGTCATATTCAGTAATCTAAAAAATGTAGTCACTGCTACTAAAAGACAGTTTTCCAGATCTTTCCTTCTTTTTATGTTCTTCACATAATCTGTGACGGTAGGGGATGGGCAAACCAAGAGGGAAATATGCCAAAATACACGGAATATTTGCTTGTTAAATATTAGATTTCTAGATCTTGAGAACTGGAAGTCAATGTTTGGCATGGCTTATATTATGGTTTTACAAATTAAATACCTCTCACATTGGATTTAAGTAGACATTGTGGATTGTCCAGAGAATCAACCAGCTATGTTACATCTAATTCCTACTAGTCTCTATAGTGCAGCACATTGTAAAGTCTCTACAATGCAGCACAAAGTAATGATAAAAGAAAAAAATGATGATGACTATGAGAATCCACTAATCAGACTATATAAATATAGTTTATGCAAGATACTTGGACCTTCTGTAAAGCTTTTCCAATTCTAGACTTACCATGGGCCGAACAAAGCCTTATTTTCAGAGCAGTCTGATTGTATGTAGGAACTGTGCATGTTTAAGACGCAAACATGCCTTGTAAGTGAATCACACAGTAATAGCATATAATCAATGACATTTTAATAAACATATCAATGAAATGCATTTTTTAACAGCATAAAGATTGGTCTATTAGTGTTGAACTTCGTCCATGTCCAAGTGGCCAGTCAGGAACGTGCTTAAACAGTGTTACACTCCTCTTAAATTTGGTAAGTAATCAGCTTCCTAAAGTTTATCCAAAGCAAAATTGAATGAATTACTTCACAAGGTCAGAATTTTTGTGGCTGAAGAGAGGCTTTACTGTGTGAATTGAAATCATAATCTCACTGATATGAGGAATTCTTAATCTCAGGAAACAAACTGAGGGTTGTTGGAGTGCAGGGGGGTGGGAGGGATGGGGTGGCTGGGAGATAGACACTGGGGAGGGTGTGTGCTATGGTGAGTGCTGTGAATTGTGTAAGACTGTTGAATCACAGATCTGTACCTCTGAAACAAATAATACATTATATGTTAAAAAAAAAAAAGAAGAAGATAGTGGGAAGGGAAAAATGAAGAGAGGG